CCCCCCCTCCCCGAGGCACGGGAAGGAAAGGAAGGGAGGGAAGGCTAGGCGGCCGGACGCTGGGGTTTCCCCAGCCTCCTAGAGAGGAACTAGGAGTTTGGGGTCCAGGTTCTCAGCATTCAGCTCTGCGGGGGTTCTCCTGTCCCCTTCCGGAAGCGCAGGCTCCTCCCCCCGCGCGTGGCACACACGTGGGGCTTCCTCACCCCTGCCAGCTCGGTTTTCTCACCCGGGTCTTGTAGAGTCACACCCACCCACCTCTCCCTCTACGGCTCGACTCCTCACTCAGCCCTCTCCCTTCCATCCCGCGGCGTGGCGGAGGCTCGCTGCTCCCAGCATGGCACCGTGCATCTCTCCTCGGCCCGCTCCCTGGTCCACCTTTCCCACGCTTGTCTCTCCGCTCTGTATACCCCTTCCCACGCCCCAGTATTCTAGGTTTCCTGAGGGCTCGCTTCCTCCGCTGGGCTTCCTCCGCTCACGTCCGTCTGCGAAATAGAGCACCTCCCGGCGCATCCCAGGCATCCATCCCCCTGGGGTCTCCGCTTCTCTCCCGCCAGCTTCCCCCACCCTACGACCTCGCCCCCCCTTTTGACCTCGCATTGATCACCCCCTCCCCGCCTCTCTCTCTAAGCCCTTCCCCAATCCCGCGTGTTCTTCGCGCCGTGTGCAAATGCGTCCACTCTCCACTTTCTGGAACCTCTGGGGTTCGCTTCACCTAGTTTTTCTGTCCTTCTTGAACCTTCCTGCCTCATGACCCCTGAGCTCTGGGTCAGCTTTCCGCAGTACCTCTCCTCTCCCCAGTGCCGGGGTCCTCGCTTCTCCCAAAGCGAGGTCCCTCTCTGCGGGCCCCACCCACGACCCCCGCACTCTAGTGCACCCTGCAAGGGGAGTCTTTTTCTACACCCGCACCCCGTAACTGCTTCGCTTCTCTCCCTCTAAGGGACTCCCCCCGCCCACGATCCCGCATGTTCCTGTAGCCCTCCAAAAGCCGTCCACTCTGCTCACTATCTCCTCTTCAAGACCAGATACCTGGGGGGTAGGGAGCTCAGCCCTATCCTCTGTGAGACTCCCCCTCCCAAACTCCCGGCGCCCCCGGGGGTCCTCTTCCTCCAGCCAGTTTCCTCTACCGGTAATTTCCTCCCCGTGACCCCTGCACTCCGGCGCCCCCTGGGGGCTCCCCTCCAGGGTTCCCCTGCCCCTCCGAGCTCACCGTTGCTGTTTTCCACCATTAGCACGCGGGTGACCTCCTTGGCGTAGTAGTCCGCCTCTGGCTCAGGCTCAGGTTCGGCACTTTCCCCGGCCACCCGGTCACGGGTACTGTTGTAAAGGGCCAGTACGGCCTCGGGCAGCGGACCGGGCGGCCCCTCCCCCTGGCTCGGGGGGCTGGCGAGCCGAAGCTTGGACAGAATCTGGCCGCGGATGGCCTCGATGCGCTTTCGCTTCACCAGCTCCATGTCGATGGTCTTGCAGGTGGACAGTCCGGCGGCCGGCCGGCCAGGCGACAGCACTAGTAGCCACAGCAGCGGCAGCAGCAGCGGCAGCAGCCGCAGCCCCGAGGGCGGCATGGGGGAGGCGGCGCCCCCGGCACAGCCGAGAGCGCGAGCCGGGCTGGGGTGGGAAGAGGGAGGCCCCGCCCCTACAGAGGCCCCGGGGGCGGGGGGTCTCCCGAGGAAAGGTAGGAGGGTCTGGGGAGGGGGGGAGTTGAGGCCCTCAGGGAGGACGCAGCGGAGCTGGAGGGGAGGCTCTGATGGGTGTGTTCTCGGTATCCCACGGCAAAAACCGAGATGAGCGAGATCTGGTACCAAAGGTGGGTGGTCTTGAATAGGAAAGCTGAGGCAGGTCTGAGATTGATCCCGTCTCCTGGATCCCGGAGGAGAAGGGTCCTTGGATGCGCGGGGGCTCAAGAGAGAGGCTAGGAGCTGGGGGCCGTGCGGGAGGGTGCGACCGATGTCTGGGGTCGAGTCCTCGCGGGAGTCGGGTATGAGGCTCCTGAGGGCTGGTCCGGAATGGGGGCGCCCGGGGAACGCCGTGTGGGGGGAAGGAAGGGAGCAAGCGTCCGAGGCGGTGCAGGGCGGAGGTGCGGTCTGGGGTCCCCCAGTCCTGCCTCGCGGAGCAGCGCTGCGCGAAGGTCCCCGCGCCTTTGGCTCCCAGCGGCAGCGGAAAAGTCTCAAAACTTCTTTCCTCTTCTCCCAACCAGCTCGTCCCTCCTCCCGCTCCTCCTCCCCCTCCTCCCCGCAGTGGCGGCGGCGGCGGCGGCGGGGGCGGCGGCGGCGGCGGCGGCTCGTCTCAGACTCTGGGGCCTCGGACTGCTCCTCGGCGGCTCCTTCCTCCGTTCCCGGCTGAGGCCGGCCCCGCGGGCGGCTTCGAGCCGGGGGGTGCCCCGGAGGGGGCGTCCCCCCTGCCCCCGGCCGGGGGCCTCGCTGTCTGGCGGATCCGCGGCGGGAGGAAGGGAGTGGGACGGCCTGGGGCGCGAAGGGCGGCGGCGGCGGCGAGCGGAGGCGGCGGCGGGGGGTTTTTGAAGCCGCCCCGGCCCCACCCAGGAAGCGCGCGGGGCGGGGGCGGCCCTCAGGGGGAGGGCATGGGGGGGCCGGTCCACAGTCCTCATCTCGCGTGGGCGGGCTCCGAGGGGGGTCCCTTAAGCCCTGGGGGGAGGGGGCGGGCACCCGGCTCCGCCCCACCAACAGGGTGCTGCCTCCTGGCGGCTGAGCGCTACCAAAGCGGGCGGCTGTGCTGCGTGTGGCTTTGAGGACTGTGCGAGGGTCACCGAGGGAATAAAGACCTGGCGGGGAGGGCTCAGTCAGAGGATGGGGACGCAGGGTACAGGGAATCCGAGGACGATCACCCCGAGTGGAGAGTGGGAAGCTGGGGCAGTGGGGGAGAGGGTCAGCCAGAAGACAGGGAGCCAGTGGGGAGAGGGGCACAGAGGAGGGGGACCCCCAAGGAGTGGGGGCCATAAGAGCATCACCCAGAGTGGGGAGGGGGTCAGAGGCTGAGGCAGAGGACAGGGGAAGGGGGCCTGAGGAAGGAGGGTGACAGTGAGAGGATGGGGCACTGGACATCCAACAGATGAAGGTCAGAAAAGCACTCACATCTGAAAGAACTGTGAGCCCTTGCATGTGCCAACAGCTTCTCTGCACCCAACCCCTGTGAGCCCACACATTTACTGCCCCCATTTTACAGATGGGGAAACTGGACCTGGGAGGGGCAGCCACTGGGCTTGAGATGCTAGTCAGGATAGAAGCCACACCAGTCTTGGCTGGGGTCAGGTCTGACAGTCTCCAGAGCCCACGCTTCTGACCCCTGTGCCATCCTGCCCCTCAGCGGGTGTCCAGAGATATGGCTGGGGGCCAGCGGTCCGTACAGGGTCCTTCAGCATTCGACGCCATAACGATCGAAGTGGCGCAGCAGCAGGCCCAGCTCGAGGTGCACGGTGCCACCGGCAGCAGTGTGCAGGCGATAGCGGTCAGCCCCACTGTAGACGGCATCTCCATGCAGCAGCTGAGGCCCGCCACCCACGAAGGCCCTTGCCAGCTGCTCCCGCCAGCTGCCTAGGGGCCGCCATGTGGGGCAGTCCAGCTGGTGGGTGCCTGGACTGCTGGGCACATGGCAAAAGCCGTAGCCTGCAAGCTGGCAGCGGCCGAAGCTGTCCTGGGACCATACCTGGAGATGGAGTCGGGGCCAACCTGCAGCATAGGAGGGAGGGAGGCAAAGTGGGATGGGTACAGCCCAGCAGGAGCTCCTGGAGATCCCAGGCCCGTCCTTCCCCGCCAGGTTTCTGCCCCAGCCTCCTCTCTGGACTCCTACCGCCACAGAGCAGCCAAAGGGATCCTTCTGAATCCGTATTCCTCCCCTGCTCAAAACCCTTCTATGATTCCCCAATGCACTCAGTATAAAGTCTGACCTGAACATTCAAGGCCCTTTAGGTCGGGCATCTGTTGACTTCCCTCTCCGTGGCTTCTTCCTCTGTGTCCCCGTCTCAGGGGAGCCCAGTCCCCAGGTGAGTATGTTGGGCCTTGTCCTCGATGCCTCCCTCCTTCCCTCCCCATGGCCACACCCTGTCCTCTTTTCTGGCCTCAGGGCCTTCTTTCCTGCTCCCTCCAATCCAACTTTCACCTGGCAGCTGGAAGCGTCTTTCTCTCCCTTCCATAGGTTTCCCAGTGTCCTCACTCAGAATATAATTCAGCTCCTCAGCCTGTAGGCAAAGCCCTTGGAGACCCAGCTCCATTTCACCCTCCTTTCTGAGTCCCTCCGTGCTAGGCCCTGTTCTAGAAGCTGGGGACACAGCAGTGAACAGAGCAGACAAAAATTCCTGCCCGTGTGCAGCTGACATCTTAAACAACGAACACAGTAAATACACAAATTATAGGGTATGTCAGATGGTGCTAACTGCTCTGAAGAAAAACAAGCTGGGTACGGTGGGGGTAGGCATGCAGTTTTTGTTTTTAATATTTATTTATTTGGTTGCACTGGGTCTTAGGTGCAGCAGGCAGGCTCCTTAGTTGTGGCATGCGAACTCTTAGTTGCGGCATGCATGTGGGATCTAGTTCCCTGACCAGGGATCAAACCTGGGCCCCCTGCAGTGGGAGCATGGAGTCTTAACCACTGGGCCACCAGTGGACCGCTATCGCCTGCACACTGCTGCCGGTGGCACCGTGCAGTTTTAGAAAGGGGGTGATCAAGCAAAACTTTCCTGAGACGGTGACATCTGGGTGAACGCTTAAAGGAGGAGAGGGAGTGGGGGCCATGTGGATATCTAGGGAAGAACGCTCCCAGCAGGGGGAATAGCTAGTGCAAAAGCCCTGAGGTAGGAGCTGCCTGGTGGGGCCGATGTGGCTGGAGCAGAGTGAGATGGGGGAGAGGGGGAGGAGGTGACAGAATCAGATTGAGCAGGGCCTTGTGATCCATGGTAAGGTTTTGCCTTTTACCCTGAGTGACATGGGGACCACAAAGGATTCTGAGCAGAGGAGGAATGTTACCTAACTTAGGTGTTCACAGGGGGACAGACTTACGGGGCTGAGGTGGGAATACCAGTAAAGAGGCTACTGTAATAGCCCAGTGAGAGGTGAGGGTGGACAGATCAGGGTGCTGGGAAGAGGGTAGGGGGAGTGGTGGGATTTAGGATGCATTTCAAAGGTGGGGCTAATGGGATTTCCTGATGGACAAAATTGGGGGGGGGTAGGAGAAAAGAGGAGGCAAGGATGATGCCCACATTCAGAGACTCGGGGTCCTTAAGAGCTGAAAGGACTGTTGCCTGCCTCACTTTCCAATCCATCACCCACAAGGCAGCCAGAGGGATCTCTTAAAAGCAAAACCTGACTTGTCAATCACCTGCTCTGGCTCCGCAGTGCCTTCAGGATATGGCCTCCACTCTGCGGCCTGGCATTCAAGGCCTTGCAATGGCCTGTCCCCTGTCCCCTGTCTCCTGCCACCTCACCCCCCGCAGTCCTCCTGCTCTCCGTCGGTCCTCCCAACGCCCCTGGCTCACTTTCCCCCTTGAGGCTTCCACACATGGCTTTCTGCCCAGAACCCTCTTTCATCTTTCTGTTTTAATAGCTCCTACTGTCCTTTCACAGCAAAGCTCAAACATCCCCCTCCTCCAGGAAGCCCTCCCTGAACCCCCCAGCAGGGTCAGGCACCTCCGCTGGCCTCCCATAGCCCTTCAAGATCCCCCATCCCAGTCCTGCCCACTCTGGGTTACCACTGTCTGAGGGCAGCTCTGTCTCTCCCAAGGGATGATGAACCATGTGGGGACAGGGCTGGGGAGCTGTCTCAATCACTGATATCTCCCTGGCATCACCTGACACAGGGCAGGCACTCAGTAACTATTATTTATATGGTAGAAATATATGGCATATTTACCTAGGCTATTTCCTGGAATCCACCCCTCTTTTTTTTTTTTTTTTTTTTTTGCGGTACGCTGGCCTCTCACTGTTGTGGCCTCTCCCGTTGCGGAGCACAGGCTCTGGACGCGCAGGCTCAGCGGCCATGGCTCACGGGCCCAGCCGCTCCGCGGCATGTGGGATCTTCCCGGACCGGGGCACGAACCCACGTCCCCTGCATCGGCAGGCGGACTCTCAACCACTGCGCCACCAGGGAAGCCCCACCCCTCTTTAATGACCCAAATTTTCAGCCAGAAGAGGTTTTCTGATACCCCTCGTCCCCCACGTATTCATTTCCCCTCTGAGCAGCTGAGCCCTACCTGCAGAATAGCCACCAGCCCTCACATCTCTCTCTCTCATAAACCCTCCCAGCTTCCT